ATTCGGAAAGTAGATAACCAACTTTCTCGGAAAGTAGATATTTCCCATTTTCTATGAAACAAATTTCCCGTTTTCGATAATCTACTTTGGAAAATTAGGTAATATTTCACAAAAAAGTCGATAATCTACTTCCCAAACTCGATAATCTACTTTCCTGAAAAGTAGATAATCTACTTTTCGGAAAGTAGATAACCAACTTTCTCGGAAAGTAGATATTTCCCATTTTCTATGAAACAAATTTCCCGTTTTCTGTGATAATCTACTTTTGGAAAATTAGGTAATATTTCACAAAAAGTCGATAATCTACTTCCCAGAAAACTCGATAATCTACTTTCAAAAGTAGATAATCTACTTTTCGGAAAGTAGATAACCAACTTTCTCGGAAAGTAGATATTTCCCATTTTCTATGAAACAAATTTCCCGTTTTCTGTGATAATCTACTTTGGAAAATTAGGTAATATTTCACAAAAAGTCGATAATCTACTTCCCAGAAAACTCGATAATCTACTTTCCTGAAAAGTAGATATCTACTTTCGGAAAGTAGATAACCAACTTTCTCGGAAAGTAGATATTTCCCATTTTCTATGAAACAAATTTCCCGTTTTCTGTGATAATCTACTTTTGGAAAATTAGGTAATATTTCACAAAAGTCGATAATCTACTTCAGAAAACTCGATAATCTACTTTCTGAAAAGTAGATAATCTACTTTTCGGAAAGTAGATAACCAACTTTCGGAAAGTAGATATTTCCCATTTTCTATGAAACAAATTTCCCGTTTTCTGTGATAATCTACTTTGGAAAATTAGGTAATATTTCACAAGTGATAATCTACTTCCCAGAAAACTCGATAATCTACTTTCTGAAAAGTAAGTAATCTACTTTTCGGAAAGTAGATAACCAACTTTCTCCGAGAAAGTAGATATTTCCCATTTTCTATGAAACAAATTTCCCGTTTTCTGTGATAATCTACTTTGAAAATTTGGTAATATTTCAAAAAAGTCGATAATCTACTTCCCAGAAAACTCGATAATCTACTTTCCTGAAAAGTAGATAATCTACTTTTCGGAAAATGAATAATCAACTCTCGGAAAGTAGATATTTCCCCATTTTCTATGAAACTATTTTCCGTTTTCTGTGATAATCTACTTTGGAAAATTAGGTAATATTTCACAAAAGTCGATAATCTACTTCCCAGAAAATCGATAATCTCCTTTTCTGAAAAGTAGATAATCTCCTTTGGAAGAATGTAACTTTCCCAGAAAGTAGATATTTCCCATTTTCTATGATAATCTGCTCGGAAAATTGGTAATATTTTTCCCAAATAGTGGGGGTGGTGGTGAGGAGGATTGATTGATTTTGATTTGATTTTGCCGCTTACAGCGAGCTACTTTATAATGCACCCACACTCATCCTGTGAGCGGTAGCGCAAGGATTACAGAGTAGAGTTTACAACGGGTCATAATAATTAACCGTTGTCAGGATATTGGCACTGAGAATGTTACACAGTATTTCAATTACATTATTTGTTTAGTTCTGTACATAAAGGGTAACTTATTCACAACTGCGTGAGAACAGGCGTGTGAACAATATGTCTGGCCTCACTGACTGATACAGTTACGTGAGAATATTCGAAGCATTGGTATTTGGTTCTGTACGCTGTGATAGTTCTAGGTGCAAGAAAGTGGTGCAATCAATATGTCTTCTTGCTATTAGAAGTGTTGTGCATTCACACGAGCAGTGGCTTGGACCTGTAAATGGTTCATTTTCGCACAGCCGGCGTAGTGTTCAAGGTGTGGTGCGGTATGTCTGGCTCAAGACTTGATTACAAGACGTGGGAATATTCGAAGCACGTGTGTATTTGGTTCTATGAGGTCATGAGGGCTGGTAGTATTGTTACTGGGCTGAAGTGTGGAGGGTGAGGTGGTGGAGGGAGATGGTTGTGGGGTGTAGGGAAGGGGTGGTGTGAGGGTGGGGGTGGTGAAGGCTGAGGTGGGGGTGGGGGTGGTGGTGAGTGGTGAGGTGGGAGGGTGGGGGGTGGGTGGTTGGGGATTGGGGTGGGGGGTGGGAGGAGGTCGAGTGGGTAGGTGGGTGAGGAGGGTGTGGAGGGCGAGGTGGGGTGTGAGGCGAGGGAGGTGTGGGAGGCAGATGGTGAAGAGGCGAGGTGTGGGAGGCTTGGGAGGGGAGGGTGTGGTGAGGTGGAGGGGAGGTTGAGGTGGGACAGGGCGAGGAGGTGTGGTGGGTGAGGGTGGGGGTTGGGGTGTGGGCTGGAGGGGGTGTGGTGGGTGAGGTGGAGGGTGTGTGTTGAGGAGGGGTGTGGTGGGTGAGAGGTAGGAGGTGTGGGAGAAGGTGGGGTGTGGTGGTGAGGGGGGTGTGGTGGGTGAGGGTGAGGGGAGGGTGGTTGTGTGGGGCAGGAGGTGGGTGGGTGAGGGAGGGGTGTGGGGAGGGCAGGGAGGAGGGTGTGGAGGGAGGAGTGTGGAGGGCGAGAGGAGGGAGGGTGAGGAGGGGTGTGTAGGGCGAGGAGGTGTGGTGGGCGAGGGAGGGTGTGGGAGGGGGGTGTGGTGGGTGAGGGGTGTGGTGGGGAGGAGGGTGTGTGGGGCGAGGAGGGATGTGGGGCGAGGGGGGTGTGTGAGGCGAGGAGAGGTGTGTGGGCGAGGGAGGAGGGTGTGTGGGGCGAGGAGGGGTGTGGTGGTGGGGTGGGGTGGGGTGTGGTGGGCGAGTGGGGTGTGGTGGGGGAGGGTGTGTGGTGAGCAGGGTGGGGTGTGGAGGACAGGTGGGGTGTGGAGGCGAGGGGTGGGGTGTGTGGAGGACGAGGGTGGGGTGTGGAGGACGAGGGAGGGGTGTGTGGAGGGGGGGTGGTGTTTGGAGGGCGAGGGTGGGGGTGTGTAGGGCGAGGGAGGGGGTGTGTAGGGCGAGGGAGGGGTGTGGAGGGCGAGGGAGGGGTGTGGAGGGCGAGGAGGGATGGGGGGGGTGTGGTGGGTGAGGGTGGGGTGTGGAGGGCGAGGAGGGGTGTGGTGGGAGCGAGGGGAGGGGTGTGGTGGGGGAGGGAGGGGTGTGGTGGGCGAGGGAGGGTGTGGTGGGCAGGGAGTGGTGGGCGAGGGAGGGGTGTGTGGGGCGAGGAGGGTGTGTAGGGCAGGGAGGAGGGGTGTGGTGGGCGAGGGTGGGAGTTGGACGGCGAGGAGGGTGTGGAGGGCAGGGAGGGGTGTGGAGGGCGAGGGAGGTGTGGAGGGTGAGGGGAGGGGTGTGGAGGTGGGAGGGGGTGTGGAGGGCGAGGGTGGGGTGTGGTGGTGAGGGAGGGGGTGGACGGCGAGGAGGGTGTGGAGGTGAGGTGGGGTGTGGAGTTCGAGGAGGGGTGTGGAGGGTGAGGTGGGGTGTGGACGGTGGTGGGATGTGGAGGTGAGGGTGGGATGGAGGGTGAGGGGGGGGTGTGGACGGCGAGGGAGGGTGTGGACGGCGAGGGTGGGGTGTGGAGGTGAGGGGTGGGGTGTGGAGGGCGGGGAGGGGTGTGGAGGGTGAGGGTGGGGTGTGGAGGGCGGGGAGGGGTGTGGACGGCGGGTGTGGGGTGTGGAGGGGGAGGGTGGGTGTGGAGGGGAGGGTGGGGGTGTGGAGGGCGGGAGGAGGGGTGTGGGAGGGGTGAGGGTGTGGGGGTGTGGAGGGCGAGGGAGGGGTGTGGACGGCGAGGGGGGGTGTGGAGGCGAGGGGTGGGGGTGTGGGGGCGAGGGTGGGGTGTGGGAGGGCGGGAAGGGGTGTGTGGAGGGGTGAGGGTGGGGTGTGGAGGGGAGGAGGGTGTGGATGGCGAGGTGTGGGGTGTGGAGGGCGAGGGTGGGTGTGGACGGTGAGGGTGGGGTGTGGAGGGTGAGGATGGGGTGGAGGGTGAGGGATGGGGTGTGGAGGGTGAGGGTGGGGGGGAAGGGGTTGGGGGTGTGGGGAGGACAGGTTGGGGTGGAGAGGAGGGGTGGGATGTGGGAGAGGTGTGGGGGAGTGTGGGGGCAGGGAGGGGTGTGGAGGGAGGGTGGGGTGTGGGAGGGCAGGTGGGGTGTGGGTGAGGTGGGGTGTGTGGAGGGTGAGGGTGGGGTGTGGAGGTGGGGGTGTGGAGGGTGAGGGTGGGGTGTGGAGGGTGGGGTGTGTGGAGGGACGAGGGTGGGGTGTGGAGGGCAGGGAGGTGTGGAGGGCGAGGGTGGGATGTGGAGGGCGAGGGAGGGGTGTGGAGGGCGAGGGAGGGGTGTGGAGAGGAGGGGTGGGGGTGTGATTTTATTTTTATTTTGCAGCTTAGCGGCTACTTTGTGTGCACCCACTCATCCTGTGAGCGGTAGCGCAAAAGGTTACAGAGTAGAGTTTACAGCGGGTCATAATATTAACCCGTTGTCAGGATATTATGGCACTGAATGTTACACAGTATTTCAATTACATTATTGGTTTAGTTCTATACATAAAAAGGTGCTTATTCACAACTGCGTGAGAACAGGCGTGTGAGGCAGTATGTCTGGCCTCACACTTTGTTATTCACAGTTACGTGAGAAGTATTCAAGCACATTGTGTTGGTTGTACATGAGAACTGATATAGTTACCAAATGCAAAAAGGTGTGGAGGGTGAGGGTGGGGGGTGGGGTGTGAGCGAGGGGTGGGGTGGGTGTGGAAGGGTGGGGTGTGGATTGGCGAGGTGCGGAGGCAGGGTGTGGGGTGAGGAATGATCAGGATGTTGTTTAGGAACATATTCCCAATAATTCTATCAAGTATCATTTCATTACAAATTTGTTGAACATTTGGCATAAAATTATATATCTGTACTATAAATGCACTTACTCTTTTTATATGGTCAGCTGTACTGAAATATAGTTTACATACATAGCAAGCTGTCAAGTTTACATTTTCATCAATCCTGTTGCCTTCTTCCTAATAGATCAAATTACAATATGCTGTGTTATAATTTACAAATAGTTCCTTGAAATTTGCTTAAAAGAGAGTTGTGTAAATATTAATGATACTCTGTTCATTTTATTAGAGTGGAAATTTCCTGCTGGCAACTTACCGGTGCCAGGCCAACACAACTCGTTTAGAGGTTCGCATCAGGACAATTGAAGGACAGTATGGTACACTTCAGTCTTATATCACACCAAGACTTCAACCTAAATGCTGCCAGGTTAGTGTTAAAGCAGTGGCAATGTAAGAGAGCTAATTTTTTGTACTATATATCTTTTATAATTTAATCAATGTCTGAGCTCTCATTGACCCCAACAAACTCTCAAATACGAAGTGGACATCGTGTTTCTAACTATTAAGTTTCAGGTGAAAACGGGCTAAGAAACCGTTGGATATTCTCAGTAATAAACAGAGTTTCGAGCTTTACTATTTTTCATACTATTCATGTTATTCATGACGTTCTCTGATAAACGCATAAATCTAATGTAATCATTACTCAAAGATGTCACAACAGCGTGCAGAAAGCAAAACATTGTGGCTGATTCAGTGGGGGTTCAGACTTGTTCACGTTACATAGTAATTACAGACAATTAAGGCGTTCAACATATACTCTCATGTTGAAGGCCCCATCTATCTGTTGGTTTATATATCTTAATACTAAACATACATGGTTATACTGTACAGGGTTGGGTATTCTATTTGAACACTTTAATATAACACAGCTGTCAAGTTATGGGTTTACTCCAATACAGTTTAGAGAGAAACCGTTCATGTAGATAACTCAATTAAACAGGATGTTTTATGAACGATGAAGCAGAGTATGAATAAGTGTGGATGTTAATATAATATAGGTACTTCTGTGACCATGACACAGCTTCCCCCTTTCTCTTGGTCACTGGTTCACAATAGTGTACATACACTTTTAATAACATGTCAACCAAATTATCACATACATAAGAAATTTGCATGTAGAATGAATAAAAACACAATGGTCACGCGGAATAAAATTGAGTCAATAACAAAAATAGTACAGTATGCATTGTTGTACATCATATCAACTGGAATTAAAAACATCCTTTAAACATACATATATATGGAATAAATGCAGATATAGAAAAACTAAATTTTGGGGTTACATACATAAAAAAAAATTGGTTACTAAATACAGTATATATAATTAGCATTGAGAAAAATGTCATCATTGTGACCACGAATTACCTTGCAATCGAATTGTTGACCATAGATTTGGAATCAGCATGCTCAAGAGTACCTTCAGGTATTTTCAACCTAATATGTAAAATTATCATATTTTCTTTACAGGTCCGCCAGTACCGCATCAAGCCTCTCTCTCTCCACTCCCGGATTCATAATTTTGATCCCAATCGTCCATACAACATCTTAACTCTGAAAGGACAGTTTACTTTGCCAGAAATACATGCATGGGTGGTGTTCTGCCTGCCTGAGCTGCCTGAACGCACACCTGCAGGGGACCAAGCAGAGTTCACATTTGTTTCTACATTCCTAGATACACAGGTGCAGTACAGTATCAGGATTCTGTGACTGTTGCATATATCTTGCTTCCAAGTCTGTTGATTTCTGTTGTTTATACATCAGAAGGCTACATCCATTTACTCAAGCTTAAATAAATGAGATTTATTTTATTCTGATGTTAGGTTTTAGTTTTATTTAGCCCAGTACAGTACTATTATTATACAGTAGTTCTTCAACAGTTACAGTGTGTGTATGGTGCAGGAGAAGCAGTTTTCAAGTCAGACAACATCTCAACCATCTCAATACTGAAGGACGTGCTTTCAAAGAAAGGTACCCGGAAAAAGGTATATTATTTATTGTAATGCATGTCTTGTACTGATGAACCTCAATGTTTATGGGGGTTACAAAGGCACATGTCATTTGGGTTTAATATGGTAATCCAAATGCTCGTAACATTTGCTGTGCGTGTGAGAATAACCTAATACTATATGCATATTCCTCTACTGTACTTCTAAATATTGGAAAAGGGTCATGCTCTTCAGTCACATTTCTCATAATACAGTAAGCGATCATTTTACCGTGCTTGAGGGCAGTTCACCTCCACGGTTGGCCCCAGAGATAAAACAGACATAACAACCTTCTAATGCAGCCATAAATGATGGTTGTGTATCACCAACCACTCTCATTCTATTCCTGCTTGTTTAATAACTAACTATAATACCGTTCAGACACTCAATAAATGTCTGTCCGTCAGGGGTGTGGAGTGGTGGTGTTAACATATATTTATGGCACTTGATACAGCTCATAACTATTGGTAGTATATATTATTTTCATGTTTGAATGTTCTAAAATACCAAAATTCAGCAGCTGCATCAAGTTATAAATATTTATGAATCGGCAAAATAAATTTCTCCAATCACAGTCCGTACAATTGACTGACTGCTGCTAAGTTGCCACATTTGTTATTAAAATTATATCGGCCAAATAACTCAATAAAATAGTGCAATTAAAAAAATCAATAGATGATAAAAAATGATACATGAGTTACTAATAATAATTTGCCAAGCCAACCTATATAAAGCAATCTATTACAGTACATTAAAGTGTGTGGACTGAACAGCTGACTCGCCCTCCATGTGGGTGACAGCAGCACACGGAATGTAATGTGGTCAAACTCTCAAACACAAGGTCAAATCTTGTAATTACTGTACAGTACAGTACTTTTAATTCTGAAAATGCACTGATTATTTAGTTTAGATAGATAGATTTATTGAGTTATATTATCATACATTTCTCACATTGGTTCAACGTGTACTGAAGGCGATATTATCTAAGAACACGACATACAGAGATATTTATCAAAACAAATAATACAATATGCAACAATCTTTCGTAACTCTTAACCTATAAAATCATCGTACAATACAACACGAAAGTAAGTAGCCTAGATCTGTGACAACGGACAGTGAGACACTGAGTGTAGGTCACTTACTCCCCTCGGCGTAATTCCCGCTCGCATGGCAGCGGGAAATTTGAAAATGAAATATCTTCCATATGTGGTTAAGAGGCGTTTGATGCGTTTAAACTGTAGTATTGGTTTCAATTAATAAAACATGGTAAAGCCCCGGCCCGGATAAACGATCGGCAGTAAAATGATCGTCTACTGTAGTTTTGATCTGCTGGTGCAATACTGTACATGTACAGTACAGTATATAAGGAAAACCATCCTAAAAGAGTTCATCATTATCATCATCTTATGGCCACTTGTGTGGGTTAGCTGAAGGCATGGTGTCCCAGTTGAAACATGTTTTGTCTAGATGCCCTTCCTATTGTCAACCCACTTTTACACACATGTACTGTAGGATTTCCAAGTGTCTCTTAGCTAGAAAGGCAGAGTCACAACTCTAGATAGAAAAGGTTAGGGGAAGTGACCCCTGAGAGACATTACAGTACCTAAAGTCTTATAATGCATAGATCAAGTTTGAAAATAAGTGCAGGATGTAAGTTACCAAGTATACTAAAAAAAAAAGTTGGTAGTGTATACAGTATTTTGTTAATATTACCGGTATTATTATTATTATTATTATGAAATTCAGGCATTCATGAATTGTATTTTTTAAGGTACGTCTTGACATTTCTTGTGAAGTTAGCGAGGAGAGTGTTGTTCATGCTCTCCATCTCCTTCATCCACGTTTAGAAGCCCAGCTCATGTTGGCTAAACAGGTAATGTAATGGAGTTTATTTATGGAAGCACTGTAGATACAATTGTACAGTACAGTGGTCCTTTGTTTTTCACTTACCATATAATACTCAATATTGTAACCTATCCCTAATCTCTTGTATAGCCCTCAACATGTTTCTATTGATCTGTAAACCTCTCTCCCTCTCACATATCATTAAAGACATAATAAACACATAAATAAAAGTACTGTACAAATTATTTTATATATTACATTCCTAAAAAAATACAACACACATGAAATACTGTGCTGATCAGTCCAGTAATATTGTGATGTCCTCTTGATCCTCCCTCCCAACTCTCTCCCTGGTACATCACAGCTGATGATGAATGAATGATGGTGATTAATCTGTAGTGAACTGTTGATTCGTTCATCTCAAATGCCCTCGCCACTCTGAAGTTTCTTTATTATTTCAACTCTCACTTAAGAACACCTTTCTCTCTCTCTCTTAGGCTTCTTTGATGCATTACCAATTCTTGTTACCACCTTTAGAAGGACATTTTGGAGCCATGACGGAGATTTTCACGAGCCGCAAACACGGGATCACAGCAAGGTGTATACACAGTATGGTGAGGGAGGGGGGAAGCTGCACACTCTCTAGTGGTGACACCTGGCAGGTTTCTTGCAAAAACTAATTCACGTGCGCAATTCAACCGCATACAAAATCAGTAATACCTGTGGCAATGAATATATATTTCTGATGAAAATTAGGTGAAGTCAAAACTGCAAATAAAAACAATCTGTGAAAACAAAAGGTGCACTGTATTGTATAATGTTTGTGACACTACATACAGTAATATCTCCATTAGCCGGAATCCCTCAAACCCGGAACTCTCCGATAGCCGAATTGAAATTTTCTCGAAAAATCGTTCCCAAAGCTGGAATTTTCCGAAAAATTCGGTTGGTGAATAATTTTCCGAGGAGCACATTTTTCAGAAAATTCAGAGAAAATTTTCCCGGTCCCCGGAAAATTCTGGGGATGGGGAGTTTTTTCTGGGTTTGAGAGATGAAAATCAGTGCACTTTCCAGAAATTCCGAGAAAAATTGCCTGGTACCTGGAAATTCTGGGGATGAGGATTTTTCGGGGTTCAAGAGATAATTTATGGGAATTTCTGGAACTTCCAAGAGCAGTTTTCCGTTACCCGGAAAATTACAGGGATGAGGATTTTATCCGGCTTCGAGAGAGTCGTCTCGTTACTTGGATGTCTCTCATTCCCGGAAATGCTCTGCACCAATTGTTCGGCTCACAAAGATATCACCGTATATTGTGCTTGACTTAATTATTATGTGAACATGTTTCATTGTTGCTTTGGATAAAGGAATCTTCAGTGTAAATATTTCTCTTTCAGGTGTCAACATTGACGCTCTCAGAGAATTGGGATCTGCAGGTCCAACACCAGTTTTTTGTCCCCGGAGTATCAACACATTCTAGACAATGCTGATGATCTTCAAGCACAGTACAGAAAGCAGCCTTGTCATTTGGAGCGCCTTTATGGTATGATTCTTATCTCTCTCTTTTTGATCTTTAATGGGAAACCTTTATGCATCTCTCTCTTGCTCCAGTAATTTATAGACGATGATTTTTAGTGATTCTTATCTTGGATGAATTACCTGGTAAATTCTTGTTTCATAAATTGTTAAAATAAAAATAGAAACTGCTATTTCTTCTTTTTTCCAGGTATGATCACCGACCTGTACATTGACAAGTATAAGTTCAAGGGCGTAAACGTGAAGAGTCGTGTGCCTCAACTTCTTGAAATACTAGACAACTATGGAAGTCTCAATATTCAACATCTTGTAAACTTCTTCCAGGCTCCATAGAAGTCTTAAAAACCTGGGAATTATCCAAGAAAACTGTATCATGCCTTAATGGAAACTGGTCTACTCTGATGCAATACACTGTAATATTGTTTTTGTTTTTTTAATTATAGATGTTAATGTTATATTTTACTTTATACAGTATATGTATATGTAAGATGCATTGAGGGATCAAACCAAATGAACTATTGTCCTATGTAATTAATAATTTTCTGGTGCTGTAAGAGCGGTGCTGATGATTAATACAAGTGTCATATCATTACCAGTGCGTCTCTTTAACCCCAATCTCAGGAACACCGGTCCAGGTCACGGTAAATACATTTTATTAATTTCTTTTGTGCTGATTCAGTATTCTGAGGAGCCCTTTCACTGCATCACACTCCATTAATCACCCAATAGAATTCCGATCAGTTATACATTGCGGTTGATTAATGGATGGTAATGCAGTGGAAACCCCTCAAAATACTGAATCAGCACAAACGAAATTAATATACAGTAGAATCTCATATTTCGCATTTTTTAATTTCACAAGCACTACCTAATGTAACCAAGTCTTATATTTGGTGTAAAATATCGTGAGTTTCGCGAGATCCAGCCAGCTGAACGCTGGCCACCGTTTTGAATGACTTCAAAACCGTCATACCAGTTATTCCCCTGCCATCCTACCGACTGCATGGGCTGCTAGTGTGTGCTTTTTTTGGTGATGCTACCACCTGTTGAATCAAGATAAGGGCCTCTACCTCTACTGGGGGTCCTACTGGTGCTGGTGGGGGTGGGAGAGACCCACCTAAATGGCCAAATAAGGAAAAGGAGAAAGTGGGACTATCATAAGGGAGTTAAGTTTGCCAAGTACTCAATGCAGGATAAGCAGCGTGTGATTAAGTTACTTGAAGGCCTAAAACTAGTGAGATAAGAAAGATTACTGGTTTTCCGGAAAGCACAGTCAGGTCAATAAGATGAGATAAAGAAGAAGTCTTTAGGGTGGCAAAGAAGTTCTTTGGTGGAAATGTTGGTGGTCAAATAGAGTTGTGTATGAATCCTCTGAAAACCAGGCTGATGGCTATGACAGAACATATATTGAGTAAGTGGCTTGCCAGCAGTGTGACAGAAAATGCAAGTGTTGATGGATCACAAATTCGAGACCAAGCCCTGATCTTTTATGCTGCAATATGTCACAAGAAAAACATAAATAATCTCCCTCAATTTGGTGCTTCTGTTGGCTGGCTGACAAACTTTAAGGGACGTTGTGGTGTGAAATATACACGGTACCATGGAGAAGTTTCGTCTGAGAGCGAGGTAGCCGCAAGTTCATTTCCAGAGACAGCAAAGCAACTTGTAGAAGAAGGTAGATACTCGTTGGATCAAACTTATAATTGTGATGAACCGGGTCTCTACTGGAAACAATCTCCCCGTGCTACTTTTATATCAGAGGATGACTAACAGGCACGTGGGGTAAAGATGGCTAAAGACCGATTCACTGCTTTACTAACCACAAATGTATCAGGTCAGCATAAGATGAAGCCCTTAGTTATCTACCGATCAAAGAAGCTTCGTGCCTACCGCAATTTTTACATGAATAACTTGAATGTGTATTGGAAACAAAATCACAAGGGCTACATGATGCAAAATATTTCCCACGAGTGGTTTGACAAGTGTTTTGTGCCCAACTCACGACGTAACTGCCGGAACTTGAATTTAGATTTTAAAGTGCGTCTATTTATGGACAATGCTCCTGGCCATGCCTGGTATCTGGTTGGCAGACATCCTAATGTTCAAGTGCCCCTCCAATACAACCTCTATACAGCAACCACTTGATCAAGAAATAATTGCCAATGTGAAGTTGCTTTACTATAAGGCAGTTCACGACAGAATGAGGAAAGCCACAGACTCTCAAGATGAAGTGAACGAAATCAACAACACTAATGATAGCGATGTGGAAGACGACCCTGCTTCAGTTGGCACCTCTGAAGCTGCAAGGCCCTGCTAGCAACTCCGGTCGTGACACCACTCAACAGAATGTGCTCTCTCTGTCAAGCAATTCTGGAAGCAATTTCAGATCCAACATGCTGTGGACCACATAGTAAGTTACACGGAACAAAATCACATTGGCAACCATTAAACGTGCTTGGAAACCCCTCTTCCCAACCCGAGTAACGCAAGATTGGCTGTGCAGCGTCAGGCAGATTTATTAGAAGCTGCAGTAGAAAGTGCAAGGAGTGTCCCAGCACCTGGTTTCTGTGAGGTGGATGCAGAACAGATCAACAAGATGCTTTAGAAGAACGATGAAGAAATGCTGGATGATGTGGCTGATGATCAGTATAGGAAAGTATGACACTGGTCCTAATGTCAGCTCACTATGACCCAATAATTACCCAAGACCTGTGCACGTCCCTGTATGCACTGGACGTCACAACAAAATGGGTGATATGACCTCATCAGCTCAGGAATTACTGAGGTCAAGGGTCACGCCTCCCTGAGCTCTTCTCCCATTAAAAACACAACCTGATGGATCCTTACCTCAGCAAACATATTCATAAAATAGTATAATGGTCTGAAACCCCACAAAATAATCAGCAAATGTCATAACAGCCTGATATCAGAGCCCAATCATCATGCACAAATGTATAAGACCCAAAATTGTGTGAGAACCAAACCACTCATGACTTGTCGTGGAGGGGATCACCAACCTATTCTTTATACTTTACTCCTGAGTTCATAAGTCATGCGTGCTTCCTCCACTAAACAACGACACTGGCCCAAAATACACCATTACAGTAAAATTACACCACATGCATAGCACCAAGACAATCCTTTAGAACCCTCACGTCCAGAGTGTAAGATCAACCATTAGGGTCATCAACCTCACGCCAGGCCTTGGTTAAACAAACCACATACACTCATAGTTGAAGAGAGATGAAGGCACCCAGTAGAAGAATCAGCACCAATACTCAGCAGGTATACACTGTACAGTAGTTATACTCACTAGCACCATGGGAATTCCTGTCTCCCAGAGCCATCAGTATTTCCATTCACTCATGCTGCATCCAGGGGCAGGTTTTTCTCCGGTTTACTGGACGGCTGGTGGAGGAAAGATGAGGAGTATCAGATGTACCCAGCTCATCCACTACAAGAGAAGTCTGACCACTGAGGATTGGTGGCATAGAGTCAGAATTCCATGACTTGAGATTGATTTTAGTGCTGTGCTTCTGGCTTCAGCAAAGCTCACTTTGTCTTGTGATGATATGGAGTATCTCTCTCTCGAATCGGACACATTCATTACAGGAGGCCGGGTGCGCCTCACTACAGTGAAAACAGCAGATTGGACCTGGACATTTCTGACCCTCATGGACCTTACCACAGTTAATACATACTGCAAGAACACCCAGCTGTAACTTACAAGTGCGGCTGACATGGCCATACATCTGACAATGGAAGCATCGTCTAGGGCAGTGGTTCCCAAACCCATGGTCGTGAGGGTGCTCCTGAGGGTCACGGGACGGTCTTGAAAAAAAGCAAAATTATGAAATATTACAATATTATAATTGTATCATGTCACTGGCACAATATGAAGAATTCTTGAAATACAATACTAACTAAAGTAGAAAAGTTGTGGATAACAAAGCGTCTGTTCACGTCCAATACTCGTGTGCCAAGGAAGAAATGGACAGATATTTTCCAGAAAACATCGA